TTAATAATCTGAGATGCATTTGTCAGGTTATATGGCATTGTTTCTATTTCTTGATTGGATTAGTATATAAAGCAATACATTCTCAGCCAGACCTCTCCCCAGTGGATTTTGCCACCACTGGTGCAGGTGAGAGGTTGTTTAAAGGGCACCCAGAAGTGTTATATTCACAGACAGCTCTTCCTGTTTTCCTGGATATATCTTATTAGTAGCTCTGCAAAGGCAAAGCAGCAGACAACCACTGTGGATGTGTTACAGGGAATTCACACCCTTGCAGCAAAAACACCTTCCTGAACAGCTAATCAAATTCACACCAACTCTACATTCCTTGCACTACTAACACAAAAGCACACGACAAAAGCAAATAACGTGTCAAACAAAACCAGCCAAATTTTCTCAATTTCAAAACACTGATGTTTTTTTGTTGAACTTTTGACAGAAGAAAAAGCAGGAGGCGTTTGTCACAAAAATAAAATCAGTCTGGCTTTTTTGAACAAGTACAGGACAGGAAACAATTTTCCACATTTTGATGAAAAATTGATCAAAGTTTCAACCAACAACAAAGACATTTTCATTACCATTTTTTGTTTGCAAAAAAAGTGTTCCCTTTATTTAAAAAACAGATCAAGTCACAAATAATGGTTCGGTATCTTTCCCATTATTCAGAATTATAGGTTGTGGTCCCAGTCCTGAATATACTTAAACATATGCTTAACTTTACTGCCATAAATAGACCCATTGAAACAATGCAACTATTCACATGCTTAAAGATTAATGCAGGACCTGCACCTATATCTAGGGTTACCAGACAGCAACTGTGAAAAAACAGGACGGGGGTGGGGGGTAATAGGCGCCTATATAAGAAAAAGTCCCAAAAAACAGGACTGTCCCATTAAAAACAGGACATCTGGTCACCCTACCCCTATATGAGTTTCAGCAACTACAGCCACAGTCCTATAAATATTTATGCATATGCTCAACTTGAAGCACATGAGCAGTAGCACTGAAGTAAATTAAGCCCATGCATATTTACAGGATCAAAGCCTGTTTTTCAAAGATCACAATGTATTCTTTAGCCTGAAACTGCTACCAAAAACTTTAGTTTTAGGGGGGGAAAGTACTACTCTTTCATTGACAAAGCCAACACCAAAGCAATAACTTTACAGGTAATAAACTCAGCACTTTTCCCTTTTTGCAACCACATGGTTTATTTTGCAAATGTGGGCTGAAGCTTTTTGCTAAATGACATAGTGTTGCCCACTCCTACAGTATCTGGTCCTTTTTTTTTTTTTTTTTAAAAGAGTCCCAGCTCCTGGACTGACATGATTAGAGAAGAATCTTAGCTTTCCATATTTTTTTTTTTTAAAAGGCTAGAAACTCCCTACATGATTTCACAGAAGAATTTGCAAATGTGACCCGAGTGCCCCCTTAAAGGCTCAACACAAGGCAAAGAAAAATAAGCCCAATTTTTCTTAAAGCTGCTGATTTTTCAGTGAATCTCATGCTTTTGGCATTCTGATTCATGACCTTTTGAATGCCTGGAGTTAGCACCACTGTAATCCCTCATTTTCACAGAGCCACCAGTTCTGACTATTCCTCCTGTAATTGAGAGCTGACTTTTATTACTACTCATCATCGTAATGAACCTTTAATTAAAAGAATGGCGCCTACCTGCAAATGTAGAGCAGACCCAGCTCCCTGTGGAATGGTTGTAGGGAGTTCAAGCCACAGAGTGCTTCCTGCTCTTCTTCCCCGATCATCTATCCAGGCCTACAGGCAGCCCAGATTTAAAGAGACCGAGGACAGCAATGCAAAGACGGGAGTTTTTTCCCAGCGTTGTGTAGAAACCCAGGTTGCATTGAGAGCGGCACGGTGTGCCAATGTGCAAATGCAGACACGACTACTGCGGATACCCAGGCCTTTACTATTTGTCGGACAAATGAATCAAGGAGACAGCAAAGGCATTGAAGCCATTGATTCAAACCAGGCCCCGAACCTGCCAGCTGCTCCCCGCAGAAGCCCACTGACTTCAACAGAGCTTTGCACAGGTGCAGGAATCCACCCACTTACAGGATCAGGGTCCAAGACATCACACTGTAAACTTACCCATAGGCAGAAGGTCCAAGCTGAGAGTTTGCAATGCACTCACTCTTCGAAGCCACTTCCCCTCTGCACTGGCTGTATTAGTGCTCACACACAACACCTGTGCATCATATTCAGTGGCCAGCTCATGCTCACAGCCCACCTGATAGCTATTGGGGAAATACACAGGCCACCCTATCACTTCCACCCTGTGTGCTGCATGCCAATCCTATGTAGCAATACAAAGCGTGTCCCTTTCTTTTGGTGATTTATTGAACACTTTTAAAGAAGAGGAGAAAGGGATTTTAAGTGTTCCCCTCAGCTCATTATAGGAAGGACAAAGAAGACCCAGCTGAAAGCTGGAGGAAAGGCGAAGGAACACGTCCAATTTGCACACCGAGGAGCAACACTGCACCTGGAAATGCAGTTAAACTAGTTAAGTGCATCATGAAGAATCACACGGTAAGAGAGAACCATTGTCCCCTATCAGGGAACAAGGAACCTTGAAAACAAAGCAACTTTGAAGCTGATACCTAAAGCGGCGCTTAGTGCCGTCTGCTGCGTCACTGCAGAGCTTCTGCCTACAACCTCGGCCTGCTGGGCTTCCCGCTACGGATTTAAAGCCCCAGTAATGACGACTGCAATTCAGCTCTGTACAGAGGAGCCGGCACAGGGCCCATGCAACACTGACAGCCTGCCTGAGCCCTGTTGTGAGGCCTGCAGTTTGATTCGCATGGGGCAGAGGTTTGTACGCCCTCTCTGCACAGGGGGTATGAAAGGCATCCCGAAGTGCACTGTCAGCAGGCCTCAGGTTTGGCAACCGCCACGCAGGGAGGTGGAGGGATGCAACTGTGCGGGCGTGAGGTTGGTCCCACAGCTCCAGCCGACGTCAGCCAGACAGCAAGTGCTCAGCCTTGCGGGATGAGGCCAGGAGTGAAGAATACAGGATGCCCATCCAGCCACGTGTAGGCGCTTCCGACGGGGACCTGGGCGGCTGCGCCTAGCGAGGCAGCGTGGGGGTATGATGAGCTGAGCGAGGCACGGCATGGGGTGGGGAAAGGGGCAGGCGAATGCCCCCATCTCTTGGTAAAGGTCATTCGTTCTCTTCTTCATTGCCGTGCATTGATCTGGAAGGTATTTTTGAGAAGCAGGCCATATTCCGAGCCCATGGGCTGTGGGGACACCCCCTGTGAGTTATTCCTAGGGACTCCCATCCCCGCCAATCTATCCTCCCCCCCTATGTATCCCATCAATCTGCTTTGCCTAAGATTATGGCCAGAACACCAGTCAATGCACAGTGCATCAAACCCTCCCCTGCCATCCAGGGTATGCCAATTGCAGCCTCGCCTGGGGTTTCAGAGGTCCCGAAAGCCTGCTCAGCCCAGCCTGGAGCCTTTCCTAGCTGATAATCAGCCTGATGGATGGGCAGCTAATGCCCTACTGCGTGAGTGATCCCTTGTGCGTGATCTGTCTGTGCCTGTTGGCGATATGTCTCCTTGCAACAAGCAGCATTTGCATTTCCCTTCCAACCAGTCAGTTCTTTTCCTCTCCTTCCAGGAGCCCGGGGGTTTCCCTGCAAACAGAGAGAGGAAGAGGCTGTATGGTAGCCCGGTCAAGTAAACAAACCTGGGTCCCATTCCGGCAGCGTTTGGATTTGGCTGCGCCCTTGGCAGTGAGATGGGGAGCTGACCAGGGGCTTAGCACAGCTCCTCCTGCCTCTGCTGGGATGGGGACACAAGCTGAGCCTTCATCGCAAGCCACACAAATAGAGCCTGCGGCCCTGCACTTCTGGAGCACCCAACAGACTCCGGGGCTTGCCCGTTCTCCCCTTCCCGCAACGGGACTAGCGTCAACTCTGCCAAATGCCCCCTTCTAGAAGTGGCAGTGGGGCTGGTGAGGGAGACGGAGGCCCCTGACCCCCCTGCTCTGGCAGCGTGGGCCATGCTTGCCTGGAGCCTTGTAAGGAAGGTCCAAGAGGGAAGTCCCCATCGGTCTCACCTAGTAGAACAGCTGCCGACCAACCAAGGGGCTGGTGCTGAGAGATGCCGCACGCCCACAACACCCATTGGTTTCACCAGGCAGGGGAAGTGTCCAGCCCCTCTCGTGACCTAAGGAGGTGCCGGCACGAGAGTCTGCATCAGTGATGGGCAGTAGATCCTGGACAAGCCCACTCATTCCGGCGCCCAGGTGGCTGACTGTGCCGAGTCGCCCCATTTTCCTCCATCTGGCTCTTACCTCTTGCAGCCACAAGAGAGTCAACACTGGTTCCAACTTTAATTCCAGTTAAAGAGGAGACGGAAAGGTTAACGGTCAGTATGTCAGTGCACTGCCTGGCTCCCTATGGAGACATCACTGGGCAAGAAGATCTTCCGTAAAGGGGCCAGGGCTGAAATTGCACCAAGAGGGTGGGAAGATGATCTGCCCTGATTAGACACTGGCTCAGGGCAAGGTCGTGGTAAGAGAGCTTTCAATCCCAGCCATTGTCGCTCAATGCTTCCTACTTCCTTCCAGTACCGGCTAGTGGCGCAATGTGACGTGTCCCCCTTTAGTGGCTGGTCTACATGAGGGGTAAGAGCCTACTATTGCTATCTGCTACTGGAGTTACGGCTTTGGCTCAAGGCTTTGGTACTCAAGGTCTGAGGCTCAAACCCTGCTGATGACGAGGCAGGGGGTTGTAAGACAGGTAATATTAGCAGAGCTGAAGTGCTGGCCAGGCCAGGGTTCTTCAGGTTCCAAGAACAGTGACGTGTTCGCATCAGCCTAAGCCATGAAATGTTATGTCTCCAGCAGTTGGGCCAGGTTTCTGGAGCTAGAGCCGTCAGGGGAGATTTTGGAATCATTCCTAGCTGAAGTGTTAGATCCCCGTGAGCTCCTTGGGCAGGGAGCCCAGCCGCATTTCCACCGTTTGCTTTGTGTTCCAGATTCCGACAGCCTTTCCAGCCCAACCCGCCTAAGCCTCAGCCTGTCTGAGGGGGAGGAACAGATGGACCGGCTGCAGCAGGTGGAGCTGGTCCGCACCACGCCCATGTCCCACTGGAAGGCGGGCACTGTGCAGGCGTGGCTGGAGGTGGTCATGGCTATGCCCATGTATGTCAAAGCCTGTGCGGAGAACGTCAAGAGCGGGAAGGTAGGAGAGCAAGCTACGTCTCTGCACTGGGGTGTCTGCGCCATTGGTAGCAATCTGCTGTCCGTGCCAAAGCACGGGATCCCAAACAACCCTCTGAGTGGCGAGGGGCTTCCAAAGCCAGAACTGGGGCCACGTGTCCCAGCTCTACCCCATCCTCACTCGCAGCCAAGTTGTTTGGTGGGAAAAAAGGATTAGTTAGGCCGAGGGTTCCACAGTTAATGCAGGGGATTGTTATGTCTCTCTATGCCCTCCGATTGGCTAGCACGACCCGACCTGCTCTGTCATCCCCCACCACACGCAGGCTGGGCACTGCTGGGGTGAGAGCCTTCTCCCCTGCAGCTTCTGCCATTTGTAACAGTTTTCTACCTCGTTGCAAAGCTCAGCTTCCCCTCTTTGCCCTCACCCACTGTTGTTAGTTAATCTCTATTGATGTTATTTTTCATTGGTAGGCTTTTCTATGATGCGCTTCCCTATAGGATGAATCATTTAATTCATCCTCACAGTACCTCTGCAAGGGTGGGAAAAAATCATTATCCCCATTTCACAGATGGAGAAACCAAGGCACAAAGACTAAGTGCTGTGCACGAGATAACAGAGGAAATTTGTGGCAGAGCCGAGAATAGAACCCAAATTGCCTGGGCCCCAGTCTACCACTTTTAACCACTTCTTCTCTATAGTTTTGTTAGTTAACGCTGTAAAGCATTTTGGGATCTAGTTTATAAGAACCCATACCGCATACTGCATTGCTGTTCTGTAAGTGACCAAAGTCAATGGCTGAGTTTTGTTGCTGGTTTTTTTTCTTGGAGAGCAGATGTTGCTCAGTTTGAGTGATGAAGATCTGGCGACAGGGCTGGGCGTCTGTAGCTCCCTTCACCGCCGCAAACTCAGGCTGGCAATAGAGGATTACAGGGACGCAGAAGCAGGCAAATGGTAAGCTCTTCCTGTGGGCCTCAGAATCCCACTTCCTGCATTCATTGCGTGTGTATGCATGCTTGTGTGTGCACACACATGTCCATGTGTGTGTATGCACATGCCTGTATGTATGTGTACACGAGTATTAATACATACATGTAGTAGTACATACATGTGTATTAATGTGTGCCTGTTTGTGTGTGTGTATTTACATGTTATCCTCAGAAGGCAGCCAAATTATCTGGAGAGGGGGAGAAAAAAGAAAGAACAAGAGAGAGGAAAAAAACAAATGTCAGGGAACGATTCTTACTGCTGTGCTCAGTGTGAGAGAAAACTCACTTTAACAAAACTGACACTTCTGTTTTGCATAATTACTTCCTTCAGTGACGTCCCCATCATTTTTGCTCGGCTAATTAATCAACGCTAGCGTGTGGTGCTGCTCCTCACAGAGCCGGCCTGGGTGATTAAAAAAAGAAAGAAATCAAACTGTCTCCTGCATTTAAAGCCACAAAACCAACAACAACATCAACGCCCCGGTGAGCTTTGGGAGTGAGCCTGGCTAGCAATTCAGCAAATGACCCCAGTGGAAGCAAAACCAATAGCTGTCAGTCTTGTACTTGGTAGTATTCAGTGTTATGGAGATATCTCCTCTGTTCCCTAGAGTAGGATTTAAAACAAATGAAGCAGACACATGCCTAGAAGACTCCATTCCCAGGTTTTACATAAGGCCCACCAAGATAGGACAGGTTACACACTTGAGAGCTATAGGCAGGTTGGATGGATTGAGTGAAGCTGCTATTCTATCTTCACCTTCATACTAGATCTTAAAGCATTAAAACCAGGTTCTGCATTGTCCGGGACTTAGTCACGACTATTATATCCTAGAACTTTGTAATGGTTGTTGGCTGCATTGTATTATTCAGCTTCTCAGACGGGGGTTGAATTGCGAACAACATGCGCCTACAGTTTTCCATTCCTAGCAGAGATTCATTATTTGCCAGGAGTGGAGGGAAGCACAGGGTCGGATCCATACTCAGGGCAGGCACAGGGAAGGCCCCAGACTCAGGGGCGGGACCCATCCCCTCTCTGCCAATGCAGAGGACCCCGGAGAGGGCGAAACTGGTGCTGTTCTGCTGCTCAAGGGCGGATGAGATTTGGGAAGGCTGCAGCTGCACGGGACCTTTGCACCTTGCACGGCCCAGAGCTGAGCCTCTAGGAGTGGGCCAGGGGGAAGCAGTTGTGGGTCAGGGGATCTCTACGACATAGATCTACTGGCTATTGTACCTGTGCAGATCACTGGGGCTGGAGCCCCAGAAGAGTCTAGCCTCAGATGTGCAGCTGCTCCTCTCCCTGGGGACAAGCACACCAGATTGTAGCTCGGCTCCCTGAGCTGGGTGTTGCTTTGCAGACTCTGTCTGTATAGAACTGTCATACCAGAGCTTAGACACGGCTAGTGCTTAACTCCCTTGTGACTGGCAGCTCCAGGGCTGCAAGGACCTGGCTTTATGGGAACAGATGACTCTCACAGAGGAAAGCAATGACAGACATTAACCATTTGTGAAGGGCTATTTCCCCTGCTTTTTTAAGTGTTTTTCATTGTTGCCCGCCAATGAGATTCGTTCTGGGAAAACTCTGTCTCCGCAGAGTAAGAGAGAAAAGCAGCTAGTCAACAGAGCATGCTGTAAGCGACTCTTGCGTTTCCTTGCCAATGTTAAGGGAGAAAATTGGAAAGATTCCTCTGCTTTGTGGCCGGGCTTTCTGCTCAGTTTCTGCTTTATTAGAAACTTCAGAGCTGGGAATAGGGATGGCGAGGCTAGATTAATTAATCCTTTAATTAATTAATCTATTTAATGATGTGGAGCCAACTGCCACAGCAGCTGGGCAACTCCCATCTAGTTGTAAGTGAACAAACACAAATCTGTGCCAGCAGATCACAGGTGTGTCTCTAAGGAAGCACATGGGGTTATAGAGCTGTAAATACACAGGGCACGCATCGTGAGAATCAGGCTCGGAGTTGCCTGTTTCTTCCATCTGTAATGGGTGGTGGTTTGAATAGTGTCATCAGTGGAGGCCGTTAGTGATTAACATGGAGACACGTCTCCTGGTGCTATGACTTGCCCCTGTTTCCATTCCCTGACAACATATAAGGCAGACATGAGAAGCATGCAGAATAGGGTGACCAGATGTCCCGGTTTTATAGGGACAGTCCCGATATTTGGGGCTTTGTCTTCTATAGATGCCTATTACCCCCGACCCCCTGTCCCAATTTTTCATCCTTGCTATCTGGTCGCCCTAGTGCCGAAATGTATGCTCCATTACAGCAATTCTGGATTTGCCTGTCCCATTGAAAAAACCATGCATCCCGGTGTGCCCCACCAATGGTCTTCCATGCTGCAATGCTGCCATCCTGTGGCTAGCTGGTGAGCAGCATGGGTGTGTGCCTTATCTTTCTGTGGCGGCGACTCCACGGATTCCTTTAAAATTATTCAATTATGATCCAATTATTCAGGCAAACCTGGATAATTGCACCCACCTCGTATTGGCATTTGTTTCAAAGGGGGAAAGTCACAATAATCAACCCAGCACCAAACCGTCAGCGCACTTCCTGCTTGGTTTTTAAATTTAGGGAGCAACAACAACTTTCCCTGTAGACGTTAAAGCGTACATAGAATCCCAACAGTGATTTAGGCCCCGATCCAGCAGAAGACTTAAGCACGTGCTTGGCTTTATGCATGTCAGTGTTCCCACTCCAGCCAATGAAATCTCTAGAGAGACTTTGCAACAGTGGAGAATCACTATAACGGAGCTGTCATGCTTTTTGCCTGCCCAGAGCTCATCCCTAACTAACATTTGCTACACTGCCACCCCTTCTCTGGCATGCCCCCTAAGCCAGGTGGAGGTGGGATCTGCTGGGGCTGGAGCTAACCCCACTAGCCTTATACCAGTGGGTAGTTCTCCTCCACAAAGGAATATTCCAGTGGCATAAAACTCAGTGGCACAGAGTGACTAGTGTGGACCAGAGAATCCGGCCCATTGCCTGCACAGCCCCTGTGCAAGGTATCTGCATGATTTTTAACACAGGGTAACAGAAGCGTCATGCACTTTGATGACCTTCCTTACACCTCCTGTCTTCCTTACGCTCCACAGCTTGTCTAAAGCCTCTGAACTGGATCACCACTGGGTAGCCAAGGCCTGGCTGAATGATATTGGGCTGTCTCAGTATTCCCAGGCTTTCCAAAATCACCTCGTGGATGGAAGGATGCTGAACTCGCTGATGAAACGGGACTTGGAGAAGTACCTTAATGTGTCTAAAAAGTTCCACCAGGTCAGCATATTGCTGGGAATAGAGCTGCTTTTTCAAGTCAACTTCAGCAAAGAGGTGAGACGAGAAATGGTTAAAACAGGCGGTTTGGTGTGCCAAACGATTAGCCTTTCATAGAATCATAGAATATCAGGGTTGGAAGAGACCTCAGGAGGTCATCTAGTCCAACCCCCTGCTCAAAGCAGGACCAACCCCAACTTTCTATCGCTCCAGGCCAGTGCAATTCCTCTGAGTGCTCTCCATTCCCAGTTCCTGTCTCTAATAAATCAGTTACACTGGGGACAGTGCACCCTCATCTCCCATTGGCCTTCTTTGATAGAAATAGCCGTACCATGCAGCAACTCCAGGGAATGGAGATTTCAGAGTTTGTCAACTCTGCCGGAGCAGCCCTCACCTCGGATTACCATACGTCCGGGTTTTCCCAGGCATTGCCTCTTTTTTGATCCTCCGCCTTCCCTCTGAGCGGATTATGGGATGTTTGGGATTTTTGCAGAGCGGTCGTTGCCACTCAGAAAAAGCCCTGATTGGTCCACATCCCAAATGGTCCCTCCCTGCATCCACAGCTGATTGGTCCATTCCACTGCAGCCACACCTGCCGGATCCCGCCCATCCAGGCCCCGGCTCCCAGTCCTGGGGAGAGGGTTCTGCAGGGAGGCGCTGACTGATGGTTGGTGGTGTGTCCTGGGCTTGCACCAGCCTCCTGTCACCAAGAGTGGGAGCAACACTGCCCCCCACCTCAAGAGTGAAGCTGCAGGTATCCACTCCCGCACCCCCAGGAACCCCTCCCAGTACACACACACCCCTCCCGCACCCCCCAAATACCCCCTCCAGCACCCCCAACTGTACACTCCCTCTGGCTCCCTCTACCCCCTCCTCCTCCAGATCCCCCACCCTCTGGCAGTGTCCTCTTTTTGGGAACCTGAAATATGGTAACTCTGCCCTCTCCCCACGAGGCACATCCAAAACTGAGCCAGTAACAAAATAACCCCTTAGCTTGGGTGAGGAAGGGGAACGAAAGGGCTGCACTGAACTCTGTTGTTGGGAGATTTGGGAATTGCTCAGGTAATGTTAACCCGTTTTGCTTCCCCAACAGCAAATGATTCTTCTTCTTAGACAGCCGAACGGACGGATAGGTAGATACGATTGTTGTTTGCAGTGTTGTAGCAGTGTGCGTCCCAGGATGTCAGGGACAAGATGGGTGAGGCCATTTCTCTTATTGGACCAACTTCTGTTGGTGAAAGAGGCAGACTTTTGAGCTTACGCAAGTCCTGAAGAAGAGTTTTGTGTTAGTGGAAAGCTTGTCTCTTTCATCAATGGATGTTGGTGCAATCAAATGCCTTACCGCACCCACCTTGTCTCTCTAGATAGTTAATTACATAACAAAGTGAAATCCTAATTCAAGAATGATCCCTCCTGTTTGAACCATTTCTTATTGGCCTGGGTCTCAAATAATTTACTGAGCTGCTAGTTCCCTTCCTCCCCTCTGACTGGCCAAGATCCCAGGGGATGGGACTTCCGGATCTTAGGCTCTCCAAAGGCCGAAGAGGGCACAGCTCTGGTCTTTGTGGAAGATGTGAGACGTTAGGAGGGATCCGAATAAGGAGAGGGCAGGGCCTATTTTACTGTCAATAATGTCAGCGTCCTTGTGTGTAGGTTCTGCAAGAGCGGCGGGCTCGCTGCGAGACCCAGAACGTCGATCCGCTTGTCTGGACAAATCAGCGGATGCTCAAGTGGGTGCGGGACATCGACCTGAAGGTAGGACCTGCTTGTAAGGAAGTGGCTTGTGGGTGCCGAGAGGGGTATAATCATCAGGGAGGGGAAGAGTCTGTCTGGGCAGGGCTCAGTCTTCATCATTCAGCTCTCAAGTGGGCATCGGAAGCATCCGGTATAGAAATAGCTAAGCACCATGGACAGGGTACCTGGGGCATGGTGGTCATACAGGATAGAGCAGTGGTTCCCAAACGGGTTCGTGAACCCCTGGGGGTTCGCAAAATGTTACAGGGAGTTCTCGGGGAAAAAATTCCCTAATGGCAGACAGAGTTGTCCCTAGAGACCCTGGGCAGCTCGGGGCCAGCAGCCCGGAGCCCCTAGACTTCCAAGAGCTAAGCAGATCAAAGCAACCAGATCTATCACACTGAGGAGATTTAACCTTCAAGACTCCTTATAAGAAATGGAAAGGGAGGTGGATATTTTTTGCTGTTTTTAAAATTAAATAGGCAGCTTGTATTGTTTTTAAAATTGTTATGAAGAACAAGTTTAAGCTTTGTTGTAAGGTGTGTTGTTTGCCTGGACTGCTCAAGACCTGAATGCTTGTGTAGGAGGAACTCTTTGAGTTGGCTTCTTAAATACCTTCATGCTGTTTCACATCTGATACTCCTGATGAAACATAGAAGCCTTGTCTTTTAAACAGGTTTATTCAAAGTGATACAAGCTATGAAAGTGAGATCTTGGAAGAGTGTTGCCGTTTTCATAATGTAATAAAAATACCATAATGATAAATAATAATTAATAATAAATAGTGTGTAATAAGCATGTCACAAAAACAAATTTTATATTTCCAAGATCACTCTTTTATAATTTATACTCAGGTAAAGGAAAAAATCCCTGGAAATATTCATTTTTAAGAGGGGGTTCACGAGACTTGACATTTTAGTGAAAGGGGTTCACAGGTTGTTAAAGTTTGGGAACCACTGGGATAGAGAAACCCGTCTGCTGCCCAAAGCAGCTGCCACTGTGAATAGCACCTGCTGACTTCTTAGCATCTCCTAAGGAGGGGAGCAGAGGTGTCCTTTCTTGTCAGGTAAATCCGTGCTCTGGTTGTTGCTTTTAGGAGTATGCGGATAACCTGATGAACAGTGGCGTGCATGGGGCCGTGCTAATGCTGGAGCCCACGTTCAATGCAGAAGCCATGGCCACAGCTCTGGGCATCCCAAGCGGCAAGCACATCCTGAGGCGGCACCTGGCCGAGGAGATGAATGCCATCGTTAACCCAGACAAGTGAGGCCCTTTGCAGCGTTCGCTCACTGGCTCTCGGGGGGGGGGGGGGGGGGAGATTCCTGCCCCTTCTCCTCTCATGGACTCACTGGGGATGGTGCAGCTCTGCTGGGGATGTGGGGGACGGGATGGTGGGAACACAGCCAGGGAGACTGCAGCCCCCCGTCTGCCATGGTTCTGCTCTCTGCAGATGCAGGGAGGTTTGGGGGAAGGGGTAGGACTAAGAGAGGAGATGGGGGTAAGGCTGGCGGATCTGGCAAGCCACACATCCACCATTCACTCCCTTTCTCCCTGCATACAGAGGGAACAGTAACTGGGGGGGCTGCTCCAGCTTTCTGATGCAGAATCAGCTGCAGAGCAGCCTGGGAGCGGACTCCTTGTTAACCCACCAGCATGTAACTCTGGTTGGGCCGGATCCAAAGCCCATCAAATGAAAGTCATTGGGATACCTTCCCTGGACTTCAAAGGGCTTTGGGTAAAGCCCATTGCATGCTGGACATCTGCGGCCTGATCATTCTAGCAGCTCAGGAACAAGTCACACCATCCCAAAATGGAGTCAGTGGCTCCTGGGGACATCCTGGAAGGAAAGCCGTGGGAGGGGAGTGTTCCATTGTATTTCTTGCGTTGCACTGAATTTAAGAAGGAGGAATGCAGTTCCAAACACGGAGAGGCGGCTGCTGACCTGAACTCCTGTCAAAAGGACAGACCTGTTCAAAGAGCAGGTAATTCTCCAGGCAGCAAAAGCCAAACGGCCACTGAACTAGAAATCCTCTAAAGAACTAGAACAGCCAAAAGGGCAACACACCTCCTTCACTCCCTACTCAAGCACAAACCAGCCCGTGGGCCTTTCCCAGTAGGACAGAGTCTCAAGACGACGTATATATGTGTATGCAGCCTCCACAGAGAGCCATTCTTGAATACTGTACTAGGGAGGCGGGAGACGTCTGAGGAGGGCATAAGATGAAATTCACCCCTGTGCAAAAGGCCAGCACAAAACTCCAACGCTCAAGTCCCATGTACCATCATACATAGACCACCCAAGGCACAGCTAAACTCTAGGGGTTTAAGTGGGATTTGGGTGGTGAATAGGTCCTGTGTGGAAGCGCTGCACAGAGGTGATTTTCACCCATGGGGAGTAAGAGATAATTTTGCCAACTACATTCACCCCAATCTAAATCAACTGAGCCTTTATTAGAGCTAAAAATAGCCCAAATGCAGCAGGGGAGGGGATAACGAAGAATATTGATCTTTGCATGGACCAAAAGAGGGAGTCATCACCCACCCTTCCCCTGGTTCCTCTTCACTACAAAACTCTGCTGAGCACAGCCTGCCCAATGGACCGTCTGGGACAGAAGAGATGGCTCCTGTGCTGAGTCCTACCCAAGGATGTCTGAGGAAACCCTGGAATCCCTCAGGCAGGCTGATGGTTGAACTGGGAAGAGAGGCAACAGATATTCCATATCTCATGGGCAACTGCACCGCACAGCCTTGAAAAGGAGGCCTGGATTCTGGCCCCACCCAGGTGAATTCTGAAAGCACAGTGAATGGATGGGGATTCCCAAGGATGAAGCAGGGACAGGCAACCTAGCGTTGCACAGAGGCATCAGTAGGATATGGGCACCGGTGCCTCACTTATTGCTGCTACTCAACACAACATTTCTGTCAGCCCTTCCCATGATGCCATTGGCAAGCCAGCGGATTACCTGCTACCTCTCATGTTTGGGAGCAATGAAGTTAGTTATTGTCTACAGTGTTCAGTACCATTCCAGCTGAAATATCACCCTGGAGATAATTCTAACCACCTGCTTTTCTACCTTTGCACCCCAGGAGCAGGAGGAATTGTCCGTAGCGGAGTATTGGTGCCAGGGACAGTGTGGACTTGCTAAGAGGAAATTACATGGTGGGGCTTGGTAAATCAAAAAGGAATAGATTATCCTTTCAGCTAGGGTGACCAGATGTCCTGATTTTATAGGGACAGTCCCGATTTTTGGGTCTTTTTCTTATATAGGCGCCTATTACCCCCCACCCCCGTCCCGATTTTTCATACTTGCTGTCTGGTCACCCTACTTTCGGCTGCTAAGGATTCATCAGCATTCACAGCCCATTTTCATGTTTTTGGGAGCTGACCATGTTTTTGGGAGCTGTGTGCTGGTCTTTGAATTAAGTTTATTGAACATTTTTCATTATATTGAAATCATAATGAAGCTGTCTGTGCTATTTCCAAGCAATCTTGTTAATGTATCTTGGTGATATGTCTGTTTGTCATGTTTCAGTAACGTATTAAAATAGATAGGGAAGGAGTGTGTTCCGGTGGTGACAGCAGAAGTGGGAGTCAGGATTCCTGGGGGGCTACTCCTGTTCTGCCACTGACTCACTCTGTGACCTTGGGCGAGTCATTTAACTTGACTGTAAAGTGGCCATAATGATACTTACCTACCTCACAGGAGTGTTGTGAGAATTAATGTTTGTAACTTGCCTTGAGATATGCAGTTGACAGTGCAAAATAGCATTATAGTATGTACATATTTATATATATTAAACTGCTAAATAAATCATCAGGACAGTTCATGGCTTTTAAGACACTGGTTTGAGGAGGCCTCTGAGCAGAAGAATCCATCCATTGACCATAGTGCTCTCAATTCATCCCTCTGCTGTGGGTGGTCCTCAGCTGTCATTCAGCTGCTCACGGGCTGGGAACTCTTTAGAGGTTGCCATGTGAGAACGTGGAATGATAAAAAGACACACCACAGGAGCTCCTTTCACTTTCTATGGGGAGAGTCCTCTTCCCAGTGGACATTCCAGGAGCTTCCATTAGAATTCTCCAGTTGGTCTCTGCTGGTTCTTCCTGGTCTCTGTTGATTTCTACTGGCTGCTTATGTTTTCTCTTATAGATTCCAAGGCTAGAAGGAATCATTGTGATCATCTAATCCGACCTCCTGTATAACACAGGCCAGAGAATTTCCCTAAAATAATTCCTTGAGCAGATCTTTTAGAAAAACATCCATAGATTCATAGATTCTAGGACTGTTTGTTTGGGGAATTTGTGTTTTTTTTTCTTTCTGAAATTAACAATTTGTCCAACTCGACATGAATTCACAAAACGTTTCAATATTGCCGAAGCTGCATTTTTTAACTGAAAAAAAGTTTTTGTCTCAACAATTTCACTCGGCTCGAGTTCCGTTCAACATCTTCCTTGTGCACAATTTCAGGCTCTTTATAGTTTTTTTTTGTTTAAAATAAGGCTGTTGATGAAGAAAGTGATGATTCCCCAGCTACCCAGAGAGTTCTTCTGTTTGTATTGGATGTTTGTGCTTAGTTGGTAGTCCATTAACCTCTTATGTGGACCAGCCACTGGGGCTGGGGGCAAAGAGTGACATAGTGGTGACATGGATTGGCTCTTCAGTGGTATAACCATAAGTCGCCATATTACCAATATATATAAAACACAAAGCTCTTTTCTGTCTGGGATACCGCCAATCAACCCACCCCTAAGGAGAGGAGATCCTTACATGACTGGATCTCTCTGATCAGGAGTAGATGGGCCTCATCTAGGTAAAGTGCTACCTTCCATAACCCTGTACAGCAGGCCAGCACAAGGACTATGCACAACGTTAGTCTTGTACTGAGGTACATAGGTCTTATGTGGGCTGTCTGCATAGGAGTAAATTTCACCCAGAGGGAAGATGAATCTCTATCCCGGCTTCTAATCTATGGAACTGTTTGCTTTGCTCTGTAGAACCTTGCTATGATATTTGAGCTGCAATAGGCCTACAGTGGCTAAGATCTGTATCCAAATAAGGTTTCCTCAGTGTTTTATCATAACTCTCAACTTACTTTCCACCGCTTTCTCTCTCTCCAGCATAAGCCCTTGCCAGCCACCTGTTCCTAATTCTGCAAAGCTACATTAAACTTCTGTTCAACTCTTTCAATTTTCCTGTCGCTATGATACCACCTCAGTGCTTATCTCTCAGCCCCATTGTGTTAAAGTCCTGGATGTCATTTTCCAAAGCTATCTGCTTTCTTGATCGTCTGGCTTTGGCTTCGAGATCTCGCCACCAAGCACAAAAGAACCCTTAGGAAAAGCTACAAAAGTTCCTCACCCAAATCCAGACTGTGGTGATGGCAGCTAGAGCGTTTTCTTTCTTCTTCAGCCAAGTTACATTTCTGAAAGTCAGAAGTGTATTCAGAGCAAGAAAAAGCCTGAGACAGATCAGAGCCTACTGTGGAAACACCCATGGAAGGCTCAAGAAACTCCCTGGGGGTGACAGATAAGGAGCCCACTGATGGGGTGAAGGGGCAGCTCCTGGTCTCTGAAACGGAACCACCAATCTCTGCCACTCTGGTTCCACTCTTCAGGACACAGTAGCAACCAGGACAAATCCCAGCAGGATTTGCTACTTCATGGAAATCCAGTGGAGTCCACAGGGCCAGGGCTGGCTCCAGGCACCAGGCACCCAAGGTGGTGCTTGGGGCAGCACCTGGAGGGGGGCGGCGCGGCGCTCCGGCCGCCGGGGAGAGCGGGGCCACAGCCGGGCTCGCCGCCCTCCCCCCGGCGCTCTGGCCGCCCTCCCCCCGGCCACCGGAGGGAGAGCGGAGCCCCCGCCGGGGCTCGCCACCCTCCCCCCGGGGCT